TCTTCTCTTTGCTTTTTGCTCCTGACGGGACCTTGGCCGTTCCTCACGGAGCCGTTCTGAGGTCTGAGGAGTTGTCCTCGCTCCTGCTCCATCCATGGGACGCCGACGTGTCCTTCATCACTGTCCAGGTCTGAGTCCGAGTGCATGAGAGCGGAGGAGGTGGGTGCAGGGACTGGCTTCATACGAGACGCTGGACAGAAGGAAGAAAAAGACAGAAGCAGAGTGACGTCAAAACACTGATGAGTAACTTCATATTATTAGCCTATATGTTCAAATATTTAATGAATCTCACCAGCTCTGGGCACCTGGAGCTCCAGAGCGTCCCTCTCCTCTGCTTCCAGAATCTTGTATCGACTTTTGCTCCTTCGCACTTTGCTCTTTCGTCTTAAAGAGAAGGAAATAAAAGACATTCAACACGTCGTCTGTCGCTGTAGTAGAGTGTGAAAAAAACAACCAAAACCTGGAAAACTGATTAACCTCCATCCCACATCCAGAAAATAAATTCAATCCTGTTACAGAACTGAACTCACCTGTTACAGCAACACACCATCCCCCAGGTCACTGTTGCTATAGCGACAACAATCATAAAAGACGCTATAGTCACGTAGAGAACGCTCCACTCTGAAAAACAAAAACACCAAACATGTCAAAAATGACCAATGTCAAAGATGTTTCTTAAATATATATTTTTTTCTACATGGCTCTGGTTCTTCTCACCACAATTGGTCTCTGCGTCTCCAAACTGAACTCTGATGAAGTTCTCCATCCAGAACGGGTGACAGACGCAGCGTCGAGTGAAGGAGTCACAGTCGCCGTGGCTGGAGCAGTTCAGCTGACAGACTGAGGACGAAAAGGAGAGAGAGAGAGAGAGAGAGAGAGAGAGGTAAAAATGATGGGTTTCAAATCTTTGACCAGAGGTCATGTGACTCTGGACTGTTGCTGATGCTGACTCACAGTCAGCATCAGCAACAGGAAGTTCAGTTTCTCAGAGGAAGGAGAGGAAGAGATAACAGTTAAAAATAAAAACAGGAAAATCACACACTGCTCAAGGACCTTAGGGGTTTTTTGCCTGAGTTGAGGACTTTACATTAAACCATATTTGTTATTACTGAATTGTAATTACTGAATTATAATTATAATAAAATTATACAATGAAGTGACAAACATCTTGGCAGCAACTTGTCAATACTCACTGACTGTGTCCACTCGACGGGCTTTGAAAATGAGGAAGTCGTTTTTCTGCTTGTGCAGTTTGTTGCGGAGACCAAGTGCAACGCTGTGACCGGACAGTGGAGGGCGCCCTGGACCACCAGACACCAGGAAGACCAAACGAGTGCTGAGGAGGGGAAGTAAAGGATGAATAAAAATGAAATTTGTGAATGTTGGGTAAAATAAATAAAATATATAATCATATATGACCATTAATGCCTCACCTGTGCTCATTAAATGCACTGATCTCTCTGACAATGATGTCACTGTCGAGCACGCCCAGTAAGACTCCGACCTGACGCAGCAGCATGTCACGCTGATGCTGGGTCACCTGAGACACAGGAACCTCAAACACCAGCTCCACCAGATCACGCTCCCAGATGTCTACGAAGAAAAAAAAATAAAACCACAAAGCCTGAGCTCCACATTTTAGCCTGAAATGTAAAACAATAACCTGTTTTTATTTAGTCTACCCTTTAGCTTATTAAGTTACATTTGGCACGATTTAAGGCTGACCTGCAGCTACATCTAAGCTAAATTCACTCATTGTGAAAACTGAGACAAAATAAAATCTTGGACACAATGTGATTCGAAGACAACACTTGTGTGATAACAATGGCAACAGACATGTGAGCGGTGTGTGTCTTGACCTGGTTTGACCTCCACGGTGCCTCGGTCACTGCTGGTCTGTCCTTTACTGTCGGTCACAGTCAGACTGAAGCTGTACTTTCCTGCCACCAGGTTTCCCAGGAGCAGCACGGGCTGATGGTCAGAGTTATTCAGAACCTCCTACAGGAAACAAAGAAAAACGTGAGTATACAAAAAAAAAATCCATCCCATTTTCTCCAGAGAAGACATGGATGCATCATCTCACCCCTGCAGCAGGACTGCTGTCGTCTCTGGTCCACAGGTAGGCCACTCCACCTTTGTCGTCAGTGGAGTGGGATCCATCCAGAGAAGCTGTTTTGATGGGCAGAAGGACGACTGGACCGGGAAGAACCCGGGCCACTGGAGGCTGGTCCAGTTCTGGAGGGAACAACAGAAACCACATCTGATTTGAAGTCATTTCACAGACAGGGGGGAGGAGGGGGTGGGGGGTTGGTTCATGCACATAAGAGGAAACAGAAGATGTACAGGATTTGATTTGACTGTCAGTGGATTTGAAAGGTGATGTGGAAATGTGAAGACAGATCCAGGATCTGAAGGTGGAAAATGGTCAAACCAGAATAGAATAAGTATTATATTATATATTAATATTATTATTCATCATAGTATAAAATTAACATTTGACAGTTTTTTTTGGTTTAAAATGACAGTTTGAGGTCGTAACTGAGCTACAAACACAGCTGTTATCAGAAAAAAAGTTCTAAAAAGTACTTGGTCTCGAGCTGAAGCTGCTGGAACTCAGGATCTTGTTCAGTTCCTCACCTTCTCTGACGATGACAGTGACCGTGTCACTGCTCTCCAGCTTCCTCTCGTCCATCACTGTCAGTGTGAACTCGTACTGGCCAACCTCCAGACCAGTCACCGTGGCAACTGCAGTGTCTGCGTTCTCGATCTTCACATCAACAGGACCACTGGAGGAAGAAAACATCCGCAGTGACTACGAGTGACTTCATTTTTGGGAAATAAGAAATACATCAACAGGACCACTGGAGGAAGAAAACGTCCGCAGTGACAGTGAGTGACTTCATTTTTGAGAAATAAGAAATTTTCATTCTGCACCAGAATGTGTTGACATTTGAAACATAGATCCTGATTGACCTGATTATAATTTTAATATTTGGATGAGGACTTATCGAGTCCTCAGGTCAGGACTAAAACTTTTTAAAGTCGACTACAAAATTACTAGCATGTTCCTTTAGTTGCTGAAAGTCTCTGTGTGTAACTGTGTGGACAGTCCTGTGTCCAACTGACCTGGCCTGTCTCCAGTGGTAGGAGTCGATCTTCATCGTCGCTGCTCTTCCTCCCGTCCAGTGTGGTCCGGTCCACAGGTAACGTCAGCTCCTTCTCTGGTCCTGCGTCGGCCACTGGGGGTTTATTGTTCTCTACAGGTCGCAGTGTTGGAGGGAGAAGGATGGAGAATAAAATCACACGTCCACATTTCAGGTTTAACAGTTAAAACTTAGAACAAAACACAGAATCCAACCTTCAATTTTACATCGTCTGACCTGGGAACTCATGTCTTAAAAGATAGTTGTCTTGAGTGTTTGAGATAGAAATAAAAAGTGCGGACAAGACATAACATAAAGTTTGAAGTACAGAGGAAGAGATAAGCCAATGTGGAGACAGCTGTGTAAACATTAAAGTCAGATGACGTTGTGGTTGGAAGTTTACACCAGGACAAAGTAGAACGACTACAGTCGGCTTTTTCTTCCACGGGAAAACATTATTTTTGGCAACAAAATGAAATAAAAAAAATGAAATCAGACGAACAAGTTGCTGAAAACAGAGAAAAATGTCCGTGTCTGCTCCACACTGTACCTGGCTGAACAATGACAGTGACCTGGGCGGTGTCCTGCTGTCCGGCTGAGTCAGTCACAGTCAGCTGGAAGGTGTAGTCGCCCTCCTGCATGGCCGACAGCTGCAGGGTTGGTGTCCGTACGCCCTGGAATTACACACACACACACACACACTCTTATCTTATCTGCTCTAATGAAGTGAACCATCGGTTGGGCCATAAAGGTACACGACCTCTAATGAAGTGAACCATCGGTTGGGCCGTGTACGTTTATGGTTCTGGAGGTTCTCACCTGCATCTCCACCACTTTGTCCTTGCTCTCGGGGCTGAGGGACCACTCGTAGGACAGGGAGTCGTGGTCGTCGGTGCTTTGGTTGCCGTTCAGAGTGATGGAGTTGCGTGGCAGCTGGATGACCTGGATTAAACCATAACAATATTAAATGTTGCTTGTTCAATACACGGGTTGTGTAAACACGTGGTTTTGTATGAAGAAAAAGGTGTCAGGAACTGGACCTGGTTGGGGCCCGCGTTGGCCACAGGCCTGTAGTCTGTGGCCTTGTTGACAGTGAGTGTGGCCTGTGCGGAGTTTGAGGCTCCGTCAGAGTCCGTCACTGTTAGACTGTGGAAACATCACCGTGGTTCAATATGGAGAACAGATAAGTCAATATTTTCTAATCAGACAAAAGGGCAGTCACTGACAGTTAATAAGAAATGGATGAGATCATCCTGTGTCAATACTTGGTCAATATTTTTCTGATGCAACAATGAGATGTTTTTATGTCTGTTGACTTTCACACACACACGTCAACTAGGCCTTTAAATACTTATTCTATGTTGTTTTTTGTAAATAAAAAGTACATCTATTAGTAAATGTAACAGCAGTAATTGATGTTTATCTTTGATAGTTTTGCTATAACTATGACAACATGAACATAAAGAGTAATTTCCAGCCGTCACGTGATGAGTTCTAGTAGTCAAGCGTTAGTCATGGATTACACCAACATCAATCAGTAATGTCGACACAGTCAGCCAGCAGGAAAACAAAAGCTCACGTGACTGCACTGAAATGACCTCCGCTGTCACCAGATCTCAATCCATTAGAGTGTCATTGGAATGTGGTGCAACAAGAGAGTTGCATCATGAACGTACAATGCTCAATTGTGTCGCCTTGGCCCGACATCTCTGAAGAATGTTGAGTTTATGCCAAAAAAAAACTCAAACCTCACACTGTGAGTTGTACCTAATAAAGTGAACACTGAAGACCTTTGACTTAATTACTGGTTCAAAATCTGGTGCAAAAGAAACATTTTTACTTCAGAAAGATCTAATTTAGTGGAAAATAAAGACTAAAGCAGACCAGAGTGAACAGTAACATCTGGACTGTCCAGGTGGCAGACAGTGTTAGTGATTATTTTCTTTCTTATTTTTACTTCAGTGTCCATTTCTTATATACAGTCTGTGGCTGCAGCATGAGTCTGAGAGGTACTGGGCAGTACTTGAAAGTGTAGTTTCCAGGCACCAGGCCGGTGAGGGTGAGGACGGGGGTATCAGCAGAGACCTTCTCCTCCCTCAGGGGACCTTTGACCTCTTCCCAGTGCCATGCAACCACCTTGTCGTCATCAGTGCTCTCTGAAAAAAGGAAAAGAAGAGAAATTATCTTTCAAACTATAAACATCATGTGATGAAACAGTCACATGTCTCTGCTGGCTTTAATTGTGTGTGTGTGTGTGTATCCAAGTGGGTGTGAGACTCACGACTGCCGTCAATCACCGTGGAACTGGTCGGCAAGGATATTTCCTGGAACTTTGGAGAAACTTTGGCAGCAGGCGGTTTGTTTACCCTGGGCTCTGTGGGGCAGAAAACAAGAAATTCACTCTCTGGATGACTCACAGTCACAACAACAAGTGTGTGTGTGTGGGCCGACAGACGTCTCGTTTCCAAATGTGTGTAGTGTAGTTTTTTCTGAGTCAGCAGCTCCAGAGTGAATCCCGGTCATTTAGCAATAATCTGCCCATGAAGATAATTAGCCGCAGCGTTAGCGTTATTCACAGCCTGCTGCTGCAGATGGAGGACGGCTCTGCAGGTAATTGGTCTGTAATGGTGTCATTAAATTACCGACTCAGTGTCCCTCTGTTTTAATGAGAGTCAGTTTGTCACTGTCTCCTCGTGAACAAGCTGATTATGTTGGTGCGCACAATACAACAACAAAAAACGAGAATTGGTTGTTTATTCAGATTTGTAGTAAAAAAACAAAAGAAAATAAATAAATAAAAATAATTTAAAGACGTAAAATCATCAGTGCTGACCTTTTCATCTCCTTTATAAATATGAGTGGAGGTATGTATTGCAATATATGTGACTTTAAAGGCACAGACACCGAACTGCAATTCCTGGACTTTGGCTCACCTGGTTTGACTGTGACGTTAACGTAACCTTCGCCGTGAGCTCCTTCCCCGTCTACCTCCACCTCAAACTCGTACAGACCTACAGTCAGCTGAGCGGGAGAGAGGAGAGAGAGTGCGTTCTGTATTCAGTGTGGCTCCAGCTTCACGTGTGTGAAAATGAAAAGTGTCGTCTGTACCTGGCTGAGTTTCAGCGTCTTGCTGTGCTGCCCTTCCATCTCTCCGCTGTAGTCTTTGGGGTGTGTTATCAAATGCCAGTCAAAGCCATAGTTAGAACCTGCACAGATTGAGCCACATCATGAGTGTCTGTAAAACACATCTCAGGATTTCATGTAATAGTCAAACATCGTGCTTTTTCCTAATTTGGACGACACCATTCAGACTTCGTGTTCAGACCTGAACACCAATAAAACTCGTCACATGACATCATCTCTGGCTTTTCACGTCCTCAGTACAAATATGCACAGATGACATTTCAAAATTATTTCAAGGAGACTATTTGCACAGATATGTGTAACAACTGAGGAACGAAAAGAGAGCCAGAGTAAATACAACAGAAAAGTCTGATGACGACCACAAATAAAATCAGAAAGAAATGTCATCCATGTGTTTATTCCACACTGTCACGGTTTTACCTGGTGAAGGTGGAGGCACCACGAAGGCGTTGAGCTCCACCTCGCTGCGGGGCAGTGTGACCTCCACACTCTGTCCTGCTGACACCACCAGCTCCTTCACTGCTGCGGAGAAGGACACGTGATCAGAGCTGAAGTCAGAGCAGGGTCACTGCCACACCAGGGGTCTAATATGATGTGATCAGACTTCACACCACTGTCACAGCTGTGCCACAATCTTCCACTGCACTGTTCCGATGAACTCTGTTACTTACAGTAGGAGTATCAGTGGTGAGAATGCAAGTACAGGAACAATGTTTACAAACTGTTGTTCATATTTCTCAGTTGATGAATGACAGAAAAGTTATTTTTTGGAAAAAAATATTTTAGGTTTTTAAAAAAATATTTTCTAAAGCAAAAAGATTTATAATTTGCATAATCTTCACTCGTATTCAAACACCACAGAAACAAATGCAAAGACTGTAAATTATTCACCTAAATATCCTGATTTGACCCACCCAGAAAACAAACGTTTTCGTTAGCACATTCAAATCAAATAAGTTCTACATCCATCCATCTATCTATAAACACGTGGGCCACACCACATGGTCCACATCCACAGACTTTCTGGTTGTGTCATTGTTCCAGGTACATTAACCCTCCTTGGAGGGAATCTGAGCCTCATCACTGAAACTGTGGACTCAGGCGTCAGGTGATGGTAACTGGAGCTCTGCTCCTCTAGCGTCACAGATTCTTGTTGTGTTTATTTTTTTTCTTGTTTCCAAGTCTTATCTTAACGGACAACAAACCTGCTCAGCTTGTTTATTCCTGCCCTGTTGAATCAACAGCAGCTGAGCCCAAGAGCTCAACACACTGATCTGTTTTGCACACTATTGTTTCTCAGAAGTGTGTGGCCACTGCCTTTCAGGCAGGAGAAACCGATCCTGCAGGTCAGGCCTGTTTCAATAAACCCTGGAGTGTCTCGAATCATTCCTAGTCATTCAGAAAACATGCTACATGTTATCTGGGAAAAAAAACACCCGAGTCACTGAGAGGTTCATCTGTGTGACAGTGTTCTGGAGAAACACCAGATAAAGCAAACACGGAGATGGAATCAAAAAAAGGTGTTTTATATGTTTAGTGGGTTAGGGTTCCCAGACTCCAGCAGGACGTCCCCGACATGCTTACCAGCCTTTGTTGGAGACGTGATGGCAGCAGAATCGGCGACTGTGGTCACGTCGTCATCATTGCCGTTGGAAGACGCTGGATTTTCAACAGTTTTCACAGAAGTTGAGTTCTGTTCGGACAGAGTTTGAGCGGCGTCCAAACTCCTGTTGGTGTGTTTCTTTTGGACGATCTTGAGGTGTGCAACGAGCGTAGTCTTATTGGGGAGCGGTGATGCCGACATAGGATATTCCTGCAGAGACAGTCAGGGGTTAAAGAAAAGTCTAAATCTTTTTTACTTCCATTAAACTGAACATTTAAATTCACCCTGGTTTCGAGGTCTCTTCTTCTCCGTCTGAAGGATCCTGACTGCGGCCCACGACCCTACACAGAAAAGTACAAAACTAAAAACATTAGTCACCAGAAAAGTACAAAACTAAAAACATTAGACATTAGTTGGGATGTCAGAACTTGTTGTGAAAAAACATACTTTTTCCTTACTTTGAGTTCTTAAGTAAAATTGAGTAAAAATGAGGTGAAATTGTTTTTTTCAGAACCAGGGTCTGACCTTTGACACCAGCTGAAGGAGGCCTAGTGACTCCTGGTGAGTTTGAGGCAGAGAAGTGATGGAGCAGCCCCTCCTTTTGGAGCAGCTGAGGAGAACGCAGCTCCCTCCGATGCTCCACACGGCGCCGCAGCTTGGATGTAAACAGCAGGTCTCCCAACACGTGGCTCCGCCTTTGCCGCTCGCAATAGGGTACCAGCCAAAGCTGACGGTGCTGCTCCAGTGGATCCCCAGTACCCCACCGCTCACCCTACACAGATCTGCAGACACACCTGGAAACAGAGATGTGGAAGAAAATGAGGATTTTTGAAGGTGACGTCAACAAGAAGAAGAGCAGCGCTGCAGACGACCCTTGTATTTTAGGTTAGTCAAACAGAGAAACACACCAACAAACGTGCACCAAGGACTCGGTTCAAATAGTAGAACAGTTTACAGTGACCGATGCATGAAGTGTGTTTCCTGACAGAGAAACGAAAGGGTTTCTCTTCTCAGAAATTAAAAAAAAAAACACTATGCAAATCCCACAACTGCTCTGAAATGCCGACTGAGCTTCATTAGGATTTCTCCCCTTCACTGCCGTGTTGGCCGGCGTTGGAAAAGTCACTGAATCCAAACCCAGTCCAGTGAATTCCAGCCTGTGATACTGAACCAGTTGGGTTCAGAATGTGACTAAATGTTTCTGAGAAAAGGCCGATGTCAGACGTGAGGAGTGAGGAGTCAGCCAAGCTCAGCAGCAGAGAAAGGAAGTGAGCGTTACTCCCTGACAAACAAGACGCTGATTAAAACCCAGATCACAGTGAGCAGCGCAGCAGGAGCAGACAGACCGTGTCAGACCAACATCAGCGGCGCAGTGACCTGGGTATAAAATACTCTCTCTCTCTCAGGCTGCAGTATCAGTCCACTGACCAGGAGGAAATATTTGCTTTACAGGCTCGTAAAATAAAACCCTACTGGTTTTTAAATACCACAGTGGGTCTTTGTGTGATGTCATTCAACTCTGCTGGAGTGGATGGTCACAGAGAGACAGAAACCAGAGGAACAGTAGCTCCAGATCAGAGGATTTTAAGAAGGAAGTGTTTTTGTTTCTGTTATTTTATTTTAATGCTTTTTAATCTTCATTTTCACGTGTACAAACCTTGGTCTTTTCCAATCAGGTTTATCAAAGGTTAATTTTCCGTCTCAGCTACAGAGAGAGGACGAGGACACTGAGGAAGCTACATCCCAGAAAGACATGACGCAACAACAATTATCAATAAGTGCTTTAAGAGCAAATGTGGAACTGATGGGAAAAACTCAAACAAAAAAATGACAAAATAGAGACACAATCTGTTAAAACCATCTCAGAAATACCTAGTGCTGCCATGGCAACGCTGGAGCCAGGGGTGACTTTATGGGATGCGTCAGTGTTAAAAGAAGTCTGGAAAAACACGTAGGAAAACACACTCACACAAAAGAGCTCCAGTCTGTTTGGTAAGGGGGTGTCATCCTGGGTCCGGTTCACTGTTCTGCTGTCCCCAGACCCTCAATGTGCCCGCACACACACACAGACTCACACACAAACAAAGTGTCTCTCCACAAGGCTCTTATTGTCCTGCTTCACATTGTGACCGACTGAGTGGGCTCAGGGCACCAGCAGAAACACACACACACACACACACACAGAGCCACAATCCCTCTGTCTGTTTCTCAGATTAGACACACACATTAACTGTAACCTCCATGAAAGAAGCTAAAATCCTGTCAGTGTCACAGTCAGACAGGGAGACGGATGAAGACCCGCCCTGTGTCATCAAAGGTGTGTGTGTGTGTGTGTGTGTGTGTGTTTGTTGCTGCAGATCAGAAGCGGAGTCGTTACAGACACAGATGTGTTTCCTCATTAGTTCTGAGTCAACACTCGTGTGTGTTTGTTCTGCACATATTAACAGAGTGGCTCTCATCACCTGTGTTCAGAAGGCAGAGCCACAGGAGGGTCAGCGGCAGGAGACGCAGGTGAGAAACGCTGCAGGTGAGCAGCTTGTCATGAGCACAGGACATTCTCAGTGAGGAGTGAATGGAGATCTGTAGAGAGAAGAAACACTGCTGCATCACATGTCACAGAGCAACAAACACCAGAGGACAGAACAAACGACCGCTTTAGTCTTTGTCTTTAAAGTAGTTAAATATAACAAATATTTCACAATAAACAAAGGTAATGGTCTAGTGTTAACTCGAGTTAAACTCAAGTTGAGTTAGAACATGGATGAAGCCACTTGTTCAGGCGAGTTTACCTCTGTCCCCACCAGGTGTTACTGAAGAAAACAGAAACAGGAAGCTGAGAGAGACCGAAAACTTAGGTTGGCGGCGTGCAGCCACGAGGTGTCGGATGGAGACGGACCAACTCCAGCGATGTGAGGAAAAAATCCAACATGGCCGCCGCTGGGTGTTTCACAGACTTAAGTATGATGCTGGAAACAGGACAAAGGGGAAGGAAATGAAATATACACGTATATCAACACAAAGTAACAAAAAAACATTTAGACATATGTATATAATCATGTACAAAAACACACACACATACATATGTGTATATACACACAAACAAATATATATATATTGAATATGAATTATTTACATAATGGATAAAAAGTGCTACTAGTCTAATGGACGTGAGCCTCACATTAACAGATCACACATCTCCTTTACAGGATCTAGCATGACAGCTGATTAAAGAAGTAACAAAGAATAGTCTTGTGTCGACAGCATGTTCTTTCCTGCAGGAAGTGTGAACAGGAAGTTTCTCGCTTCAAAGTAACTACCACAGATAAGAAAGTACGTAAGAAAACCTGTGGTACTGTAGTCGCAACCAGTCTGTACAACATTTTATTTATGCAAGAACAGTAACAATGATTTTTTTTTTACTATGTAAAAGTGCTGTAAAAGTCCTGAATACATGTAGGGACAAATAACCTTCATGTGAACAAATCACTATCAGGAATATTTACCCTAGGCCATGGTGACTGGTGGGTCAGTCTAAAAATACACACACACTCTGTGTTGACTATGCTGGGCTGCAGACATTATTAATTTCTCTACCTTCTGGTTTATTAAGCCTGGAAAATGTTATGTCTGAGGGGGAGATGTTTTCATTTTCCCTGATTGTATTTGTCAGGAAGGGGAATGAAAAAGGTACAAACTGTAAGTAAAATAAACAGCATCATTTGTGGTTAAAAAACACGAATTTAGCATTTGATGGCAATTTATTTTATTATTATCACTGTTTTTAATTCTTGTTTTTTTAGATTTAGATACAAACCTGTTTCATCTGTGTCCGTGTGAAAGTCTGTGCTTCGGCATGAAAACCACTCCCACCTCAGCAGCTCAGACCATCTCCAAAAACCAAGACAGAAAAAAATAAATCCAGGTGGTGAAATAATCCAGGCTGAAAATGGGAGCCTCAGTCCCTACTTTGAGCCACGGTGCTGTGGGTTTTCTTCCTCACGGAGCAGTAAATATCCAGACTGTGCCACGGCAGCACTGACGCTCAGGTGCACTCAGTCACCTGGACTGATGACAGCTCAGCTATTACCTGCTCTCCAACGGTCTGTGGTCCCTGGAGGAGTTCCTGGTGAACAAC